TATTTTCAAGTTTTACGGGAGCTATTGTGCGGGTATATGAATCCCAAAATGAAGAAATAATAATAATTATTATTATTATCTCTTTCCCTTTCTGCATTTTTTTGGCTCCGTTAATTGATAAAATTATCTCTTTATTCGAGTTCCCTACTTTGGACTGAGTTTCAAAAGATTTGTTTCTAAACTAAATTGTTAAAATTCTGCTAAGAAAAATTTCAACCGTTAATTTGCATGGAGAAAGAGATTCTGCATTTGTTTGATCCCTTTTTTTTATTTTTCAAAATACATTTTTTCTATCTTCTTTTTAATCACGCATTTTATAATAAAATAATATTAACGTAAATATAAAAAAATTTCTTATTTTTCAATCACATATTTTTCATCAATCTAATATTTTCAAAATGCATTCTTAAGGAAATAATGAGGCTCAAACAGGCTCTGTATTATTACTGCATAAAGCTTGCCAACCGGTGACTCAGCTTAGGTCCGATGATAGATTTCAATTACAAGCACATTGAGGTCCAATTCATTACATATTTAAACATTAAAAGCGTTCTTCAAGTTTTAGAAATAAATACGAGTGCTTAGGTATTTTATTCTTCAATAGTTTATCAATCCTACAAACCATTTGCCAAGAGTCTCTTTAAGCACCTATTAGATCTTAGAGAAGACAAATATCATTTGAGGACAACGATATCGTGCTTGAGCCTTTCTACCATATTCAACGTTCTTAATTCTTTTGTTTTGTTGTCTTCTTCATTCCCTTGAATTTGAATATTAGTGTGATAATTGAATCAAATGACATGGAGTTCTTTAAGAATTCACTATCTTCAAATAATGAATTAAGGGAAACTCATAAAGAAATTCCCAAGTCTAGTGGAACACAAGATGTGACATCTTTTAAAAATGTTAATAAATCTAGTGAACCTCAAATAAGTAAAAAAAACTCGGATAGAAAAGATTTTAGAATCGGATGAAATTAATTATCAACTTATTTCACTTTACTTAGTAGAGGGAAATGAGAAGAATGTTGTAAGAACGATTCCTTTTGTTCTACAAGTGAAAATCGATCCTAAAACTTATAGAGAAACTATGACTTCTCGTAATAGTATCTTTTGGAAAGATACAATTAGAGATGAAATGGATTCGATTATGCCAAACAATACATAGAAACTTGTCGATTTACCACTAAATCCAAACTTATTGGATGTAAATGAGTGTTTGAGAGAAAATATAATGTTGATAGTTCTCTTAATACCTTCAAAGTTAGATTAGTAGTTAAAAGTTATCGACAAAATAAATGAATAGATTATTTTGATATTTATGCACCGGTAGCTAGAATAATATCAATTAGAATATTATTCACATTAGCTTATATACATGACTTGCATGTTTATCAAATGGATGTCAAAACAACATTTTTAAATGGGGATCCCGATGAGGAAGTTTATATGAAATAATCCGAAAGATTTGCTCTACCCTAAAATGAACATAAGGCGTGCAAGTTAGTGAAATTGTTATACGATTTTAAGCAAGCATATAAGAAATGGCATGAGAAATTTAACTTAATTATTAATTCATTGGTTTCGTAAATAATAGAGTAGATAAATGTTTATATTTTAAATTGTGTAATGAATATATAATATTTATTTGCTTGTATGTTGATAATATGTTGATTATGAGTAATCAAATGGATAAAATCAAAGAAACGAATAGGTTTCTATGTTCCACACTCAAGATGAAAGATTTTAAACAAGTGGATACCATATTGGGTATCAAAGTTACAAAAACTAATGAGATTTTTACTTGAGTCTATAACATTATATTGAGAATGTGATTAATAAGTTCAAATATTTGAACATAAAATAATTCAATACCCCTCTTGATCCAAATTTAAAACTTATAAAGAATTATGGAAGGGAAGTTGCTCAATTGGAGTATGCAAGTGTTATAGGGAATCTAATGTATGCAGTTTAATGCACAAGATCGAACATATCATTAGCAATTAGTAAACTTAAAAGATTTACTAGTAATCCGAGCAATGAACATTAGAAGACCATTGAAAGAGTTATTGGCTATTTAAAGAAAAGAAAAAACTTAGGTCTAAAATATTCTAAATTCCCGACTATATTAGAAGGATTTATCAATACTAGTTGGATATCTAGCACATGAGAAAGTAAATCTACTTTGAATTGGATGTTTACTCTTGAAGGAGGTGTTTCTTGGAAATCAAAGAAACAAACATGTATTACACACTCAACTATAAAATATGAATTTATAGCATAATCAAATATTGGAAAAGAAGTTGAGTGGCTTAAGGATCTTTTTTATGAGATGCCTTTGTTGATGTATTAAACTACAATTATTAAAATCTAACCAAACTAGAGAGAGTAGGTATTAGTATATAAATTCAACCTTAGATTACAACATGGAAAAATAGTGAAAAGAATAAGTTAGGGCTATGAAACTCATGAGAGGAGAAATGACAAATTTGACAATATATGTGTTTAAAATTTTTGGTTAAGTTATAATTTTGTTTGAGGACAAACAAATATTCAAGTTTGGAGGTGTTTGTTAAGTGTATTGTATACACTTATCTAAGCTACTAAATTAGAGTATTTGTTAATGATTTAGATGAGTTATAGCTTAACTTTGTGTTAATTATGTTTGTTAGGTTGAATTCAATGCTTTAAACAACATCGAAGCTATGCGTCTAGTAAACTTGGAATCGACCAAGACATGAATGAACTTATTTTCAACATAATAGACGATGCACCAACTAGTTTCATACTATCTCTCCGTTCTCGATTAGATGACGGAGTGATGGAATTCATTCGGACATGTGTGACATGATGATTTTTGTGATGATTCTTGCAATACAAGTTCTATCGTATATTAATTATCATCTTCTTTTGATAGGTGAAATGAAGCGGTGAACTAATGTGAATCTAGGGCATCTCCAGACCATTTCTCCCCTTTTTTCTAAAAAAACTCATCATCCGTCCACAAACTTATTTTCATTTCACACGGACAGTGAAAATATAATTAATATACCCATACATTAAATAATAATTTAAATTGAAATATTTCATATTTATTGATAATATAATACATTAAATAATGATATATTAGAAAATTAATAAATCAATTTATACTCTCAACAATAATAGTGACATATCATTTGAGACAATGGAAAAAGGATAAATTAAGTCTATCCTTATAAGACGAAAGAGTATTTTCTATAATATACCGTATGTTATATTATACTCAGGCACGCGATCCGAGTTCTACATTAATATATAATTATCATAGTTACATTATCACACTTGTACAATCTGGCAACATGTTGGTACATAGTTCAATAGTTAGAAAATCAAATCCCTAACAATTATATAAGATCGCGAATTTTCCTAAGCAATCGCGAGTGTGTTATTTTCTTACAACTTGAACGTGCTTAATTACTTGATTCTTAAGTAAAACTTGTAATTGCCACGTGATCTAATTCTTCGAGCATAATTAACGGTCATTAAGGAATAGTTATGATGATAATTTAAAAGGATTAAAAGTCCAAAACTTGACTATTTACAACAAACTTAAATAATTAAACTACGAACTTTTAAGTACAAATCAAGTTTCCCCCATGTTCAAAATTTATTTATGAGAGCATAATCAATGCATTTGTAAATTGTTATCTAAGTTCAAAGACTTAAGTTGTCCACATGGCATTGATTAAAGAGACATATTATGTGTACATAGGTATACACACAGAGGTTGACATAATGTGAATGAGGTGGAACCCATGCTACAGTGGGCCTTGCTACTTGTACATCGAGGTGTACACCCCCCTCACATGGGGGGTGGGACCCCCTTAAATAAAAAAATATTTTATGCAGTGGGTCCCACCCCCATGTGAGGGGTGTGTAGTCCCTTATGTACAAAAGTTGATGTACAAGTAGAATTTTCCTGCTACAGTAGCGCGGGCTCCACCCCACTCACATTATGTCATCCCCTATGAATCAATATATATACATATAGATTAATCTTTGGTTAAAATTCAAAATCGATCTCTAATATGTTGTATCTATGATCAAATAGTGTTGTTTAGATGTCGTTTATTTTCTTTCAAGTAAAAATAAAACTACGATGCATAGGTAATGTAAATATCGTAGAGTCACTCTATCGATCTAAATAACTTTCCTAAAGTTAGATCGTGCTCTTCACAATTCGTTTTCCTATTTGCAAGCTTGACCGATTACAAAAGAATTTTATAAACATGGTGTATTTTGCTCATGTTACAATTTTTTTTACCAATCCATGGATGTAAGTTTGATTCAACATACTCCCTAAATAAAAGTTTTTTGTTTTTTTTTTTTTCCTATTTTAGAGAATCAATGTTTAAAAATAAATTTCAAGAGACATCTATTTTATACTGATTGAATTTAATATGTTACATATTTCAACTTCTTAAATTATTCAAATTATATTTGAATTGATTGAGAATTGACATCTAAGAGAATATGATAAATAAAAGATGATGAAAAATCAACGAAGATCCAAAAAGCATTGTCTAAGTGTATAAAAAATTTAGGATTTGTTCTCATTACCATTTTCAAGTCGTTTTCTGTTTTCGATTTTTCAAAATAGTGAAAACGCGTTTTTGAAAACAAGTTAAAAATTTATAAATAAAACTCAAAACCACAAATTTGTCGTTTTGAGTGTTTTCAGTTATAATCAAGTCAAAAATTTTAAAACGAGTTTTGGATGTTTTCTAAATGCCAAAAAGAACACAAAACTGAAACACAAAGAGAACGGTATCTTACTTTCTAAAATTAAAGATACTCTCTATATACTTACGATGCTCATCATAAATAATGTCTCTCTTAAAATGTACCTGTCAAAACTTGCTTATATATAATTGAGAGGGCTGGCAAAGGCAAAATCAAGAGAAGAAAATAGGGAGGGCTTAGTGCTTGCTGTGTTTCTCAAGTTTTAAGTTCCGAATCATGGCATGTTTAGTCAACTCATCTGCATTTGCCTTCTCTAGCAGTAGCTTTCCTTACCCAACCCCCACTACACTCCCCATCAAGAATATGCCCTCTAAGCAAGATGCATTAAGATTTCCTCCTGCGTGGAAGCACCGGGTTACGACCCGACAGACTTTTTCCTCCGACAAGCTTTCGCCCATAAAGTCAATGCAAGTCCATGAGGCATTACCTGAAGGTCTCAAACCAGAACTTATGCCTAAACACGTTGCTATTATTTTGGACGGTAACCGGAGATGGGCCAAGGAGAAAGGGTTATCAGCGGAACTTGGTCATCTGTCCGGTGGACGTGTAATAATGAATATAGCATTTCTCTGTAATAAATGGGGAGTCGATGTTCTTTCGATATTTGCATTTTCAACGGAAAATTGGACTCGACCCAAGGTAATTGTACTCGATCCCGACTAAAACTCACGAGCACTTTAGTGTAACAGTATTTGCATGCATGAAAAATAACGCATGATTTCTGGACTTCTTTTGTTTCTGCATTTTCTTGAGTATTAAACTTAGAATCTTGCTCCATGTACATTAGGGGTTACGTAATGGGTTACATAATATCACATAACATTTTATTATTTGTCAGTTTATAACACTGTCGACTTTTTCATACAAAATTTTTCCTCCACGTCGTATTATGTAACACTTTAGGTAAAATTTTGATGTATAAATAACAAAATCCTTCAAATTAATATGCTCCACATTACTAATTACTATGGTGTAGGTCTGTAGGAGGAGGTTGACTTTCTCATGGGCCTATTTGAAGAGGTAGTACAGACTTATATGGACGAAGTTACGAGGTACTCTTTAAATGTTTACACTATTCCACGACTGAACTGTAAATTTTGTTAAAAGGATCACAAAAATATGAATACCTATTATTTTCGTTAACATATATTAATCCAAAATTTCAAAATATTGAATGGATCCCTAAAGTAAGGCCAAAGTTTTCTTTTTTGCAGAACTTTTCAATCCACTTGTTTTAAATGTTGACTACTTGCTCGTGGAATTGAATTATCTAGCTCTGTACACGGGGGCAGACCTACTTGAGGACCAGTGGGAGCTTCTGCCACACTCAATTTTCAGATTTCCCGATTTTTCTTCAGATATTCAGATTTTTTTTCAAAGTCTTTTGGTTTCACCCCCCGTTGAGGTTCCTGCGTCCGCCCCTTTCTATACATGATTAATATGTCTAAAATCTTTACGAGTTTTATTGTATCTTTGAAAAGCATTCTTGTATCTCTTTATTCAAATTTAGAAAATCTGTGGAAGTGAATTACATATCCAAGAAAATACAATAAGGTACATATGGTAATAAATATATTTTTCTCTAAACATTAACCTAGAAAAGAAAATGACTAGATGAAAAAAAAAAAAAATATATATATATATAAACTTTGGCAGATACAATGTGAAGATATCAGCAATTGGAGACAAATCAAAACTTCCAGAGCCATTACAGGAACTGGTGGCCACAGCAGAGGAGAAAACAAGAGGCAACACTGGACTCCATCTTCTGGTAGCTTTAAACTACAGTGGACGCTACGACATAATGCAAGCCACTAAAAGCATTGCAGGCAAAGTTAAAGATGGCATATTCCAAGTTGAAGATATAAATGAAATCCTATTTGAGAAGGAATTGAAAACAAACTGCGCTGAATATCCTAACCCAGATTTGCTTATACGAACAAGTGGTGAGCAAAGAATCAGCAATTTCTACTTGTGGCAATTGGCCTATACTGAAATCTTCTTTTTGAAGAAAAAATTTCCTGACTTTAATGAAGAAGATTTAATAGAGGCCTTGAGTTCATTTCAGAAAAGAGAGAGACGCTATGGTGGAAACAATACCTAAAAGCATCGCTAACTTGGCTTATTTCACGAATAGCTTTAGTACTTATAATAAGCAATTGTATCTTCTATCAATATGTATTTTTAGATTTGTTTCAAAAAAAAAGGGGGAGAATTTAAGATTATAATTGTATTCATTGTATGCTATCATCAACCTTATTCGAAAGAAAATAACAATAGAAAGATGCAACATTAAGCATACATTTCATTCCAAGAGCCAAACAATGCATTTTTCTTGATTTCCCACTTGGCCAGAAAGCATACAAAGTGTCGATTTAGAAAATCATAACTCTTTTCTAGCCGAGATGTTTTTCTCTAGGCAAAGATTCCTTATCTAGCCATTCCAACTCAACCATCTACAGATGACACGGTTTTACCTCTACCTACATGACCACGTTGCAGGTTTACCACCAAATATAAATGCTGATCAGCCTCATCATCTCTATTGTCTCAATCATCTTCTTCACTCCTTATAGCACAACCACCCAGAGACAACTGTCGAACAACACAACCCATGACTAGACCAATCTGACATTGCAAACAGCCACCAAACACCACCACCCGAACAAAAAACCACAGAAATCCTAAAGGGTCCAAAGACCTTTTTTTGGCTACAAGACTTCATGTGTTATGAGGTCTCAACAATCAATCCAAACCAAAACTCCTTGCTCTTAGTTAAGACACACAAAGGCACCAGATATCACATTTCTCACCATGTCTCTTATTTAAACTTGTCACCTAACTATAAGAGTCTTGTTGCCAACATTTCTCTTGTAGTTGAAGTAGCTACTTTTGATCAAATTGTACATAATTCAAATTGGAAAGTAGACATGGATACTGAAATTTGAGCATTAGAAGAAAATGGAACTTGGTCCTTCATAACCAAATATTAAGCATACATTTCATTTCATTCCAGTTCAGTTCAGTTTGTGCTTAAACCTACATTTTTCCCCTACCCTAGCAGAAGCAGTGACCAAAAATCAGTAATTGGAGACAAATCAAACTTCCAGAGTCAATGCAGGAACTAATAGCTTCAGCACAGTAGACAGGAAACAAAATAGGACACCATCTTATGGTAGCCATAAACACAGTGGATAATATGAAATAATGCAAGAAGCATTTCAAGTGAAGTTAAAGGTGGCCAATTACAAGTTGAAGATATAACCAAAGCCATGAAGGAACTAGAACAAAATATGTTTAATTTCCTAATCCAGGTTTGCTTAAACGAACATGTGATGAGCGAAGAATCCACAATTTCTTCTTGTGGCTTTTGGCTTACACTCAACTTGTCTTTGAAAAGAATAACTTCCCTGAATTTGAAAAAGAAGAATTCATTGAGGCCTTGAGTTCATTTCAAGAAAGGGAGAGAGTAACATTGTGGTGGAAAGAAATACTAAAATCTTCACCAATGGATTCACAGCTGATCACTCTATCATTGAGATACTGAAGAACAACATGCCTACAGGTTCATTAAAATATGAACATTCTCCTGACAAAATCGCGAAAATTTCTTTTACAAAATTCAAGTGCGATATACTCTTTAGACTAGAACATAGAACAGAGATGAATGCTAAGTATGATGCCCCTACTCCAGTGATAGTGGTAGAAATATTCTGTTCAGTCTGCATTGTCCTCTTTATTGCTTTCATTTTCATCATCTTTATTTTGACTTCCACTTCCTGAAGGTAGATCTTTCTTTTTACCTTTTTTATTGATCTCCTTTGCCTTTGAGGATAGAGATCTCTTTCCACCATTCTTTTGCCTAAAACCTGGTAAAAATGGTGATATTTAAGATAAAGAAACAAGCATTCAGGCATCAAAGTTCTTACAAATAAATTACGTTAGACCACTCTCAAAACGAATACACACAAATGCATGTGAGAGAGAGAGAGAGAGAGAGTCCATATGCAATAGACATAACAGCCTAAGGTCACCTGCCATACTTCTCTGCAACAAGAATTTAAGAACATGCAAAAGCTAAATGCACACAAAAATATCCAAAAAAATTGGAGTTGTTCTTATTGAACCACCTTATCTAAAAGCTTTAGCAATTAGAGATGACACATTTATATATTTATTGCTGGTGTCAAAGTGATTTTTTGAAAAATGATTTTTTTTTTCTGTGAACAGGTGGTAAAAAAGTAGGGAACGGTTATGAGGATATTTGGAAAATGACTTTTTTAAGAATGTGTAGGGGAAAAGTGATTTTTGGATAATCATTTTCAAACAAAGGTTCATCTTTAGTCTTCAACATGCCCCTCATGGCAAGCCAAATTAATATTTTTGGTCAAACCTAGATAAGTGAACAATTTTTAGAAAAAGGTCGCAGCGAGGATTGAACTCTTCGTGTTTGATCATGTTTCTAGATGAGGTGGTTCAAAAAATTCTTTGGATAGCATAGATCTAACAACTTAATTTAAATTCATATCAAAACCAGTAGATTTGTGGTAGAAATCACTGGTTGCGGTGTTATCACCTTCTCCGATATTTAGATTCGTCCAAGAATAGTCATTAAAACGAAAAAAGGTTTATAAGGACAGAGAAAGTTGCAACACTTCAAAGGGGGAAGAGGCTGAAAATCACTTCTTGGAAACATTGAATCTTTGAAATGCAAGGTAAATAACATTCTTCAAAGGCTACATGATATTGCAGTTAAAGCTGATTCTCCTATTTCGTTTTGAGAGGCTACACCATTGACCCGCTATAAGAATGGAGAAAGCTGAACTCGACTTCTCAAAGACCGGATTGTTAGAATACCAATATGTTATGTACCTATTTAAACAAATATCTACCAGCTTTCCACTCACCTATATTGGAGAAAATGGAAAAGGAATCTCGAGTTATAAAAAGAAAATTGTGATCCTCTAAAGGTCAACTAAGGCTAATTTTAAATGTAGTAGTATGCACGTGTTCTAGTTTTTCCTTAACTAGATAGCCTAAACTTCCACTAGTAATAAGGCAATAAGACCCTAAGAACAGGCTTGACTCTCCCCCTAAACCTGCGTTTGATTAGTTTTGAGAAGTTGAAATCAGATAAAATACCCCCAATAGTGTAACTCTGCACAACACCTAATCATAATCACTATGTCAACAGGAAGATCAACCGAGGTAAACAGAAAGCTTCTGCAAATGTTAGTATGGTATATGTGACCTTCAAGAGATGCTCTTAGTGGCCCAACGTAATCTGAAAACTCTATCTCTTCCAGTGCCTTAAATACATCTTCCGCGTTGATTGTTTGTCTCTTTGACTCCTTACAAATGTCATTTGCACTGCAAATATTCACAAAACAGTATTGTTAGCAATAACCATTTAATCCTAAAAAATTTCAACTTAATTCGAGAAATAAATAAACTAATCGTTGAAACTACTTCAGAATTCTTGTCACATAAAAAGCTAGTTTGACCTAAAATTCTGGAATTGTTATTGAACACGCAGAAACAATATAGGATAATGCCATCATTTCACATTAGACTCTATATACATAATACACTCTCGTCATTATTGAAAAAAATTCTAGAAGAAGAATGTAATTTCAGAAAAACTAATAATGAGCTTTTTAATGTAACCTCTTAACATAATAAGAGTAAGGGTCGCATAATTTAGACAGACAATAAAAAAAACGACCATTAACATAAAGGTCAAGAAACAAGAAAAAATGAACCCAAGAAAGCAGAGCTGAGTACTTCGATCTACTAAGGGCAGAATGGATAATTATGTATTATTAACAAATACATCATGAAAACCAAGAACGGAAGAAATAGAAATAAATCCCCGAAATTGAACAAAAGAAACCCATTTTCTTATGCCAAATTATGAACTCACAATTAAACAAAAACAGAGACAGCGTGAAAAAATGAAAATAATAACATCGACACACTTAAACAAAATAAAACGTGTAGATAAAAATTAGGGGCACTTGTTGTTATCTTCTTACGTGGCGGAGAGATAGTGGACGAAGATACGAGCGCTGTCAGAGAAGGCTTCAAGTGCCTCGCGGAAAACTGAGATTTCGGAATCAGAAGAGAGCTGGGATAGCTTATCCTTTACCAGCCGGCGCACGATAGCCTTCGGCAGCTCTTCTGCGTCCCCCACCACCTTGTCAGTCACCGCCGTCTCTTTCTCCGCCTCCGCCATCTCTCTCTGAGGTGCACGATAGTCTTGGTCAGGATTTGGTTTAGGTTTTTGTTTTCCCGCCATCTGACACAGGTATCAATTTGTGGGACTTATTTGGGCTCAAATTATGCCCCATGGGCGTTCTACTTTTGGGCCCTTGTTCTTTATAATTTGGACAACTTACAAAAATACCATTAAAATTAAAAGTCTTTTGAAAAATCATATGAAACAAATTTTGAAAATAAAAAATATTGTGTAAAATCAATTGTCAATTTTTTTAATAAATAAAAAAGTGACACTGAAAAAGTGACTCGTTGTCACTTTTTAAAGTTGAGTGTCACTTTTGTATTAAAAAATGACACACAATGTTACATTTATTAAAAATTGATGTTTGTCACTAAAAAAAGTGATAGAAATCAAGGTGACTAAAAAAAGTGATAAAAACTATAAAAAGTGAAAACATTAAAAAAAAGTGACGAATTCAAAAAAGTGACACAAATTAAAAGAAGTTGTACAGATTAAAAAAATGACAGACAATAAAAAAAAAGTGACAAAAATTTTAAAAAAAATTGATACAAATAAAAAAAAAAGTGACAAACACTCAAAAGTGACGAAATTTAAAAAAAATGACAAAAATAGCCTCAGTTAACACGCAAACATTTTTACATTTTACTCCTTAAAATGTAGCTACCATTATCATTCAACAAGATACCATTATCAATTTGTTGCTTAACAACCTCTTTCACTAGAAACAAGACATATCGGTAATGAAAGTCCAAGAGTTTTAATCACTTGCAACATTAAGTTTAAATAATAAAAGGTAAAGGGGCAAAATCAACCCTGTTTGAACCAAATTATTATAGAATGAGAATGAAAAATATAGCCTTTATTGGGGTCCATACAAGAGATAGAAAATTTGAATTTAAATGTTGATGTGATTGATAACGGTCATATTTTTCATTTTAATGAGATAATAATGTAGATCAAACGGGGCTTAATTATTTGTATTAATTTCCCTATTTGCACTATTGGGCTTGCGTACCCGGCCCGTAATTGTATTAGATGAGATCTGATAACGAGATAATAATGTAGATCAAATGAGAGGCAAATCCGGTTGTTGGAGCTTCAATTGATGCAATGATGATTACCCCTGGCCATTCCATTGTCAATTAAGTTTTGGTTGATCGAATTGAAGAGTTGGAGCAGCATAGATTCATCAAATTGGTTTAGTTCCAAATTTTTCGCACAAGTTCATCGTTGCAGCAAAAAATTGATCCGATCCCAGGTGCAATTGCTCTTGACCCATGGCTGGGCAATGTGGGCCAGGTGAAGGCGCACCTAGTCCAGGTGGTCCGCAATCGGAATTCGTTCGAACGGTGTCGAAATTGCAAATTTTCACTTATTGCGTCACATCTTTCGCGATAGGGAGAACTTCTAGATTCAATTCTGGTTTTTTGCTAGTATTTTGGTACAAATTGGTGACATAGGTGAGGTTGTCCAGGGGTGGGGAGTTGGCCAATGGTGAATTTCGACCAGTTTGGTCGTCGGACGTGGAGATTCCGACGTTTCCATTGGTATCGATGTCCGATACTCAATGAAGATTGGATTTTAGGTTTAAAACGTATTAATTGTTGGTTGAATTGTTTTATTAGATTTAAAATTGTATTATTCAATTTAGTTAGTTTAAGAGGACATTGAGCTTAATTTTCCCTTATAATTTCGCACCCGACCTACAAAATTAAACTATTTTCACTTTACTGCTTAATTTATTTTATTTCTCAAAATACCCTTTTACACATTTTATAATAATTATTGTTAGTTTTTTTAAAACAATTTAAAAATTGTACCCATGGACGGGGGGTAGGATTGGGCTTTGGCTTAGGTTTGGCCGAATCCTATTAAGTTTTTTAAGTTAAAAGTTGGGAAAATTAGGCCGTGTACCCTACTAAAATAAATATTTTGATTAATAAATTTTAATCTAATGAAACATTTTGATCAAGTAAAAATTACGTCATAATCTAAACTATTAATTAAGACTCTCCCTTCTCTCTAGAATCACCCAAAAATGAACCAAACTTCCGACGACTCTCGATCGGAAAAACCACCGGAATTGGATACCGGTCGACAGCCCCTAACATCCCCTTCAACTACCAACAAACATAATCCAATTCCATCAAGTATTTCGGCCGGAATTAATGCTCAAAGTTCACTGCCCAACAATCTGAAAACGACCGGAAACCCCCACCTCCGGCCACATCCATGGTCGTGGAACCCTACTGGCCTCTTTCCCACATCCAGATGAGATTATACATGGTGGCAATTCATCCATATCACCTCTTAAACAAGCTGAATTTAATTCTGAAAACTGCCCAGTCATGAAGCTCGTGATTCCGCCGACGAAGAACTCGATTTTCGAAACCGTCCGGTACACCCATGAAAGCTGACCACTTGGGATAGATTCGCCTTCACCTGGCACTCTTAGCCCATGTATGGGTCAACACCAATTTTACTCACAGTAGCACGAATTTGATCCAGAAATGCAGGCAGCCGCGAACTGACTGGGTGTTTTGGGGTGTTGGGTGTTTTGTTGTTTAGAGCTTTGGGTACCAGGGTTTTTGCAGATTTTTTGGGCTTTTGGTTGAAAGTGTTTGCTTCAACTTCATCGTTTGAAGGTTTATGTCTTGTGTATCTATTGTTGAAGATAATAGTTCAAGGGAAGATGTTGGATTTTCTTGTGTTGACAGTTGGTGAAGTCACGTCATCTTGCATGCCAAATTTTCAGCGTTATTTCTTGGGCATAACTTGCAACTTTCTGCGTCTCTTGGTTTGGGGACTGCCATGTCTTTTAACTTTTGTCACTTTTTTGTATTTATGTTTTAAATGTGTTAGGATTATGAAAGTAAAATGCAATTTGTAGTTATCATCCAACGAATCTTGTATGGGGTGCTTGCATATATATGTTTTCAATGAGTAATCTTCTTGTAGTATCATAATAGTTTATCAGTTGTAAAGTTATTGTACTCTAACTAAAGAAATTGAATGGATTTGATGCATTGTTTATTTTAGAATATAAACATTTATACATTGTGATTTCTAGTAAATCAACATTTGTAGAATGGTTTTGGTAATCAAGATTTTTGAAAAGAGAAGCACTTATTTTTGTTTTCTA